CGTTGTACTGTAGAGGGATCTGTGGCTGGTGTGGGATAATAACATTGATGTCAATGATCAGCCATGATCTAGACTGGCGGAGCAGATTCAAGGAGCTGAGGGCTGTTGTTTCTATTTCCAACTCTGAATGTTTACTCTCTTGCTCTGGAGCCTTAATTATTATTTCAGGGCTAGTTTATCCCGTTAGCTATATTTCTTATGTGACACCTCTGCATGAAATAATTGCACCAAATGTTGTCTTTCAGCATTGGCTGTTCCATGCAGCTGAACTGTTTTAGCACTTGGGATTACTATATCTTGTTCCACTCCCCTACACTACCTCTCACAGGCCCCTGTGGGTTGCAATGATCACAGGTGTGTGCACCTGATTGAGGATGACCAGGAGATTATATGAGTTCATGACATCTTCTAGGGATTTGAGTTTGACTGATTTGAGACTATATAATCCCTTAGGCTGTTTCTGCCTCACGCTGTTTAGATATGGTGAGTGACAGCTAGTCAACTAACATCCATGATTTCTCTTAACAATTCTCTCTGCAGGTTCTATCCAGCACAAGCAGCAGTGCTCCTGTTTTTACTTCCAATGTAGTGGAGCATTTGTTGGTATTAAACTTCACTTGCCACTCCTCACTACTAGGGAGGGGGCAATAAGTGCTGGTCAGCCAGTGATGCCTGTGTCCTACGAGTGAATAATAAAAAAAATTATCAGCCCAGGTGAAAACCTATGTCTTTGCCACTTCCTCTGAGATCACAGATTTGTAAATTTTACTCCCACTGATCCTGAAGCTGTAAATCTAAATTGTGTTTGTGTATGGCAGGATCAGGTGATGTTCCGGCACACATTCCTAAAGAATTCTGTTGATTACCTTCCTTTCTTTTGACTGAACACCATGGAGTGACCTCCTTTGAGTCTGTAATGATTCTGACACTGAAACAAATTGCTGGAGAGCAGCACTGAGCTAGCAAAGGGCACGTGGCTTTTGATGTGGCACAGAATTTTTAATTTGACCTTTCACCTGTTGAAGATTGCCATGCTTCATGAGGTAGATGGATAACACTATGTCCGCATATATATCCTTTTAGTTTGTTAAATAAGTTCCGCCTACCTGGAGACCATTAAGATTTTGTAACGGTTAGGTCAGCATATTTCTCGTTCTAAGACTTGCAATTTTGACCCTGCGTTATGGTTGTAATGTTTCAATTATCTCTTCAAATGTTCACTAATCGTTACATTGTTACTCTTTTGTAGATATTGTGCATTTGATTTCCACAAGGAATGTAGCCATATGAGGTGGGACCGGCTGCAAATCCTTTTGGATGGTGTAGCAGACCAGCAGGACGAATATGGGTGAGTACTTTTCCACACTCTGTTTTCACAAACAAAGTTTTTAAAAAGGCTCCCTTAATTACCTGTAAATATGACCGCCACAATGCTTTGATTATGAAGAAATTGTGATTGTTTACATATGCTATTTTGTTTAAAAGCAAGTAGTCACTTATTTCTCTGTCTTAACAACAGTTACTTCTTGGTGGATTCTGAAGGAAAGACGGTCACACAGCAAGAAGGGGCTTTCCGGACCAATTGTATTGACTGTTTGGATCGAACAAACGTTGTACAAAGTTTGTTAGCTCGACGCTCTCTCCAGTCACAGCTTCAGGTTATAAGCACGTAAATTACTTAGTGGGAATTTAATGTTTAACCACGCTCCTTGTTCAGAAATACTAGCATTGTCAATAGTAGGTGAAACAAGATTCAATACTTCCTGCTTCTCTTAAATCCTGCACTGGACAGACTAGGGGCCAGCGTCAGAATGTGACAACTGGGTGATCTTAAACAGAAATTGCTGTAGAAACTCAGCGTGTCAGGCAGCAACTGTGGAGAGAGAGCAGAGTTAACGTTTCGAGTCCAGTAACCCTTCTTTGGTTCCGAAGAACTTAAATTTTGCTTTCTCTCTAGAGATGCTCCCTGACGTGCTGAGTTTCTCCAGCAATTTCTGTTTCTGTTTCAGGTCTTCTACACGTTTTATTAGGTGATCTGACATTGGCATTGGTGAAGATGATGATTTCTTCCAAACCTCAGTGACCATTATTAAACAACCAAAGCAAATTGAAATGTGGTTCCTTTTTTAATTGCACATCTGCTTCTAGTTTTCATTTGGATGCAAATTCTAGACACATTCGATAGTAACTTAGATAACAAGGTGTAGAGCTGAATGAACACAGCAGGCCAGGCAGCATC